GAAAAAGGTACCAGGGGCATCTCATGGGGCCCCCTACTGACCCCGGGCCCTCGGGCAGTGCCCGAGTTTCCAAATGGTCAGTCCGCCCCTGAAATTTATGCCTTAAGTAATAAATGATAACACTGCATATTTCAGGCGGTTTCCATAAAGCACCAATCAGAATACAGTAAAAAGATCTCAGTAAACTACTATATGGCTAGTCATAACAAAATGCAATAGAATAGTAACTTCTGCAGTTTCTCAGGGGAAAAATGTGTGCATAGATAACAGCATTTCAATCCCAAGGGAACATCTTGAATAAAATAAACCAGTTAGTAGGCACAAAGCTAAAGTTAGTTAACTATTAACCCTTTCAGTGCTTACACTGGTTTCTGCCGTGTGTAGTGGATGAAAAGCATTTCTAAACCATAGTAGGAATCTTATCTGAGGCGCACTCTCCCAAACAACCAGACCATCAGGTATAAGATGGGCACTACAGTGGCTAAATGGTTAGCTCTTCTGCCTGGCAGTACTAGAGTCATTGGTTCAGATCCCAACCATGTCACCACCTGCCTGAAGTTTGCATGTTCTCCCTGTGCCTGTGTGGGTTTCCTGTGGGTACTCCGATTTTCTCCCACACTTCAAAGACATGCTGGTAGGTTAATTGGCTCCTGTCTAAATTGTCCCTAGTATGTTAAAATATATAAACATGCAGCGCTAGTTAAAAACTGTAAGCATAAAAGGTATCAATCATCAAACTCATATGATAAATGACCATGCAGCTACAATGCTGTATAGATATACGTTATATAAAATGACGCTCAGTGGAGTTACAAATAGTGACACGTGCAAACGTCCAAAGTTGGCGTAATAAAGTGCATATAGTGATGGTAACAACAGAATGCAAGGCAAGCTAACAATATTAGTAGATGGTGACAATCTGTGTCTGTGTTCTTTAAAAGGTGATTTACACAATTTAGTGCGCATTTGAGTGATTCAAGACCAACTCCTGGTCATCAACATCTGGGAACTGGAACACAGTGGGGGTCATCTGGCCAGCGTCAGCTAAGCAGGTAGCACACCATCAGGGTCTCCAGGTACCAGGGATACACTCTCTCACCAGCAAGGGGAGCCAGCCTCACAAATACTACAGAAGTCACCAGGGTTTGCCTTGGGGGGGGGCTCATGAAAAACGAGCCAAACACAGAAAATCCCAATAGTGTAGTACTTTATTCAAACACCTAAAGGGAGGTGCCCTTACCCTGTGACGTCACTCTGCACAGCCCACGTGGACAGCCGGCGGCCATTTTTGACTCCCCTGTCATTTCCAGGCCACAACATGTGAGGGTATTTTAATTGTATACACCCCCCTCTGTTTGAATAAAGTACTACACTATTGGGATTTTCTGTGTTTGGCTCATTTTTCACGAGCCCCCCCCTACACTACACTCATCACCTTTTAATGAACACGGACACGGATTGTCACCATCTACTAATATTGTTAGCTTGCCTTGCATTCTGTTGTTACCATCACTATATGCACTTTATTACTCCAACTTTGGACGTTTGCACGTGTCACTATTTGTAACGCCACTAAGCGTCATTTTATATAACGTATATCTATACGGCATTGTAGCTGCATGGTCATTTATCATATGAGTTTGATGATTGATACCTTTTTATGCTTACAGTTTTTAACTAGTGCTGCATGTTTATATATTTTATGATTTTAGAGGGTTTTGGAGGTTTTACCTTTCATGCTAGCTGCTTTGTATACAAGTCCATCCAGCGCTCGTTCATATATTCATTTTTATTATCTATTTATACTATGTCCCTAGTATGTTTATGTATGAATGTAAGTTAGGGACCTTAGATTGTACACTCCTTGAGGGTTAGGGACTGATGTGATTGTACAGTATATGTGTAAAGAGTTGCGTAAATTGACGGTGCTATATAAGTACCTGAAATAAATAATAAGATCCGTGCTCCCTGGAAGGTAAGAATGGTAGAAGCTGCAACAGTCACGCCAGTGGGGATACTAGAGCTGCTCTGTCCAACTGGCAGTGCATCACTGCTAACACAGGAAGTCCTCAGGTGGCCATATTACCAGAGTACCTAGTGCCAGAAAGCAGACAGCTAAAAGGTTAGTTACTATAAATTTAAGAAGGAGACTGAGTATCTTAAGCAGGCCATAGAGGGATCAAAATTTGTCTGGTTCAGCAGGAACCAGACAAATTTTGATCCATCTATGGACAGGCTGGTTTAACTGAAGTTGATCTATCTGTAGCTGCTAGCAGTGATCATTGTATTCTGCAGGTGGGGAAGGCTCCACACCGGCAGAACTTGATATTGCATAGTGCTCCTAAATAGTCTGCAATTATAGTCCTTCTCCTATAAGCACGTCTCTTGTTAGCACATGGGCACTGCAGCACAACTGACTTGTGCTTCCCTCTTTCTCTTATGTTTGAATTTTGCTGTACAAGGGTTGTAAGTGGCAGATATATATTTTTTAATACATTTAATGATGCAATAATGAATAAAGGGCTGTAATGTCTACCTTTTATATCTGCCTATAGACTGTTAGTGCCGTTTGCAGCAAATAACTTGCTTAGGGGTCTTTTTCATATCAGGAGCTTTGTTCTGTGTTTTTTTCAAATGATATGCTCACACCAACCTTTTGGTTTCAAGTACATTTTCTTTGCATTGTCTTGCGGATAAAGAGGTGAGGGGAAATCTTGATGGGGATACCTACTGTGGTGACAACTGTCTAAGAGGAAAATTCCCTCCACATTTGATAAATGTTGTATCTCTGAAACAGCAAGGAAAGGAAAATATCTCCAATTATATGTAATCAGCAAAAAATAAACTGGCAGGGTATTTTCCATTCCCTGTTCTATCCAGAACTAACAAAAAGCTGTGGATATACAGTTGTGTTCAAAATAATAGCAGTCAGACATCACTAACCTGATCAATCACTGTTTTTGGTAGAAATTATATTTCTTCATGGCAAATAATTTACTAGCAGGTGTAGTAGAGTAATAGAAATCCAACAGGCCCAACAGTCATGACATGCATGCTGCTGATTCTGTGTAATTGAATCACTAATTGAAAGGGGCATGTTCAAAATAATAGCAGCGTGGAGTTCTATTAGTGAGGTCATTCATTCTTTGAAAAACAGGTGGCAATTATTGCCCTTATTTAAGGAAGGAAGGCAGCAAATGTTGTACATGCTGGTTACAGTGCATTTCTCTCTGAAATTCTGAGGAAAATGCATCGTTCCAGACATTGTTCAGAAGAACAGCGTACCTTGATTAAAAAGTTGATTGGAGAGGGGAAAACATATAAAGAAGTGCAGAAAATGATAGGCTGCTCAGCTAAAATGATCGCAAATGCTTTAAAATGGCAACCAAAGACGTGGAAGACGTGGAAGAAAGCAAAAAAATAACATTCGAATGGATAGAAGAATAGCCACAATGGCAAGGACTCAGCCAACAATCAGCTCCAGGAAGATCAAAGAAGGTCCAAAGTTACCTGTGAGTACTGTTACAATTAGAAGACGCCTATGTGAAGCCAAGCTATCTGCAAGAAGCCCCCGCAAACTCCCACTGTTGAAAAAAAGATGCGCTGAAGAGGTTACAATTTGCCAAAGAGCACATTGACTGGCCTAAAGAGAAATGGCGCAACATTTTGTGGACTGATGAAAGTAAGATTGTTCTTTTTGGGTCTAGTGGCCGGAGACAGTTTGTCAGACGACCCCCAAACACTGAATTCAAGCCACAGTACACTGTGAAGACAATGAAGCATGGTTGCGCAAGCATCATGATATGGGGATGTTTCTCATACTACGGTGTTGGGCCTATTTATCGCATACCAGGGATCATGGATCAGTTTGAATACATCAGAATACTTGAAGAAGTCATGCTGCCTTATGCTGAAGAGGAAATGCCCTTGAAATGGGTGTTCCAACAAGACAACGACCCCAAACACACCAGTAAACGTGCAACATCTTGGTTCCAGACCAAAAAGATTGACGTTATGGAGTGGCCAGCCAAATCCCCGGATCTTAATCCAATAGGAAACTTGTGGGGTGATATCACAAATGCAGTTTCTGAGGCAAAAACCAAGAAATAGAGAACTGTGGAATGTAGTCCAATCATCCTGGGCTGGAATACCTGTTCACAGGTGCCAGAAGTTGGTTGACTCCATGCAACACAGATGTACAGCAGTTCTCAGAAACATTGCTTATACAACTAAATATTAATTAAGTGATTCAAAGGAAAGCAAAATCTTCAAACATTTTTCAGTTTATATAGTGAATGTTTGTAAAGAAGAATACAAACACTGCTATTTTTTTGAACAGTCTAATATTCACTTTTCTTCAATTGTTTTTAGAGGAACAACACAAATTTGATATATTTTTCTTCATGTTTTGATTTGGAATAGAATGTGTAGTGTTCCCAATGCATTTGTGTGTATGGAAATAAAAAGCTATTAGAAGGATTTTGAGCTTTATTCACTTTTTTCAACACACTGCTATTAATTTTGAACACAACTGTACTTACATTTTAAGATAGTAAAAATTTTAGAAACTGATTGTCTCAACAAGCTGAAAAAAAATGCAGAGTTGCCAAATTGGATGGCAAAGAAAGAAAAGGTGACTCGATAAGTCACTGGCCTGTCCTGGGATTATTGTAAAATCAGTACATTTCTGGGAAAAAATTCAATTGAACAAGCAGGTGGGCTATAAATGTGTACAGGCTGCCTGCACACAGCCAGGAACATGAGCAGGAGCAAAAACAAAGGACAAGTCTCCCTGGCCTGTTTAACCACCTCCCGCCCTCCATATAGTCCAATGATGGGCACAAGGTGGTTCTCTCGTTCTGGGAGAACATCATATGACATCCTCCCATTCTCACCACGCATGCGCAGCTCAGGGAGCGCGCAGCGCGGCAATCGGCGGTGCGCTGTGTCCCTCGGACACAGCGGATCACCGATCTACGGAAAGAGTCGAAGATGTTGGCTCAGTCATGTGATCAGCTGTGTCCAATCACAGCTGATCACATGTAAACAGGGAAATGCTGGTTTTTGGCATTTCTCTCCTCACGAGCTGTCACGCTGACAGCTCGTGAGGAGAGGAGAGCCGGTAATCGGCATTCCGTGGAGGGGACATGTAGACTAATCATCAGGGCACTGATGATCGGTGTGCCCTGATGATCAGTGTGGCTCCAGAAGTGCCACCTGTCAGTGTCCATCAGTGCCAGCTGTCAGTGCTGAACAGTGCCACATGCCAGTGCCCATCAGTGCCACATCAATGCCACATATCAGTGCCTACCAGTGCGCATCAATGTCACATATCAGTGCCCATATGAGCTGCCTTTCAGTGCCACCTATCATTGCCAATCAGTGCCACCTATCAGTGCTGCCAATCAGTGCCATCTATCAGTGCCGCCTATCAGTGCCGCCTATCAGTGCCACCTAACAGTGCCAGTCAGTGCCACCTATCAGTGCCAGTAAGTCCTGCCTATCAGTGACACCTATCAGTGCTGCTTTTCAGTGCCCATCAGTGATGCCTGTCAATGCTCATCAGTGCCACCTACCAGTGCCTCCTCATCAGTGCCCATCAGTGCCACCTATCAGTGTCCATCAGTGAAGCCTATCAGTGCCCATCACTGCAGCCTCATTAGTGCACATCAGTGAAGGAGAAAAATCACACTTACAAAATTTTACAACAAAAACTAAGAAAAAAAATTTTTTTCCAACTTTTTCAGCGGTTTTTGGTTTGTTTAAGAAAAAAATAAAAAACCCAGAGGTGATTAAATACCACCAAAAGAAAGCTCTATCTGTCACAAAAAAATTATAAAAATGTCATATGGGTACAGTGTTGCATGACCGCGCAATTGTCATTCAAAGTGTGACAGCGCTGAGAGCTGGAAATTGGCCTGGGCAGGAAGGGGGTATAAGTGCCCTGTAGGCAAGCGGTTAAGGAAGCCAAAGTTGCAACAATGATGTTGGATGATCGGAAGGTAATTTAAATATTTAGTAATCACATACCTGTGAAACAAACTTGATAATTTGTGTCCTCATCAACACAACTTAATGTTATTTCAATGTTCTACTAACCATTCAGAGAAACCATTTTTTCCCCACATGCATCACAATGTAGCTTCAAAAGGGAACAAAGTTTTTCTAAAGTAAAACGCATACATTTACTTTGAGCTTTATTATTATTCTACTTTACAAACTAATGATATATAATTTTGTTCTCATCTTTTTTTATTTAAAGGAAAAAAAGATTTTCAAAATACAGGAAAACAAGAATATGGGAAATGGCAACAAAAAATTCCATTGAATAACATAGTGGTGAAATATGAATCATCCCATGGGTAATACGTGTAAGGGTAATAGTATAAAAGAGCATGACTCAAGAAAATATAATGCAGAATATCGCCCTTATTCACTGAAGTGCAGGATCCATAGAGTATGACTCGGTAGACTCCTATTGCCAAAATATAATAACAAAAAATCTTTAAAAGGCTATAATAAAAACAATAAAAAGAAAAATAAGTAAAAAAAATACATATAAAAAGGAAGAAGTTAAAGTAAGAGAAGGAAACATGAAGAAAGAAGAAAGGGACTGAGGGACACTAGAAGGGGCTGCAAAACAGAGAGGAAGAAAAGAGAAGAAGGGGAAGAAACACAGGAGAGGGAGGGGAGTTAGGGGATGACCTTCCGGGGTCCCACCATTAAGAGGTAGACCACATATATCAGGTTCCTACCAAAATATAAGATCTTTGAGTTTCTCTAAATACTTTTCAGGAAATCCAGGTTCTATGACAACATTTATAGGTTCCCATTTCTTGAGCGAACAGTGACTCTGTGGGGGTTATTTACTAAAACTGGAGAGTGCAAAATTCGGTGAAGCTCTGCATAGAAACCAATCAGCTTCCAAGTTTTAATGCCAAAGCTTAATTGAACAAGCTGAAGTTAGAAACTGATTGGCTACTATGCACATCTACACCAGATTCTCAGTGCACCAGTTTTGGTAAGTATACCGCCATATGTTTCATATAATCGATTTCAGTGATGCAATATAATTTTAACTAGCGAACTTTATTGATTACAATTTAGGCCAAATTTATAAGGGTCTGCAAATTAGGTAAACGTTACATTGGGAAACTGCAGAAAAATTTTTCTTTTTTTATTTTGTTACTATTTATTCTCAATACATGTTCTACCAAATTAAAGCCTATTTGTCTTTAAGAAAAAGTGATATATAACTCTTTATGATGCAGCACCAGTGAATATAACAAAAACATACAAATTATTATTATTATTATACAGAATTTATATAGCGCCATCAGTTTACTCAGCACTTTACAATATAACGGGAGACAATACAGCAACAATACAGTTCAATACAAGAGGGATTTGAGGGCCCTGCTCCTTGGAGTTTATCTAGCAATCTAGGAGGGAGGGACTAGTGGTACAAAAGGTAGTAACTGTGGGGGATGGACTGGTTGGAAAAGTAGAAGATTCCAGTATTAGCTGAGGGCAGGATAGGCTTCCCTGAAGAGATAGGTTTTCAGAGATCGCCTAAAAATGAACAGACTAGGCAATAGTCTGATAAATTGGGATAGAGAGTTCCAGAGGATGGGGGGAGCTCTGGAGAAGTCCTGGAGACGAGCATGGGAGGAGGAGACAAGGGAGCTAGAGAGTAGGAGGTCTTATGAGGAGTGGAGAGTACAGTTTGGGTTATATTTAGAGACACGATCGGTGATGTAATTTGGGGCAGAGTTATAAATGGCTTTATACGTTATTGTTAGTGTTTTGAAGTTTATCCGTTGGGCAACGGGAAGCCAGTGGAGGGATTGGCAGAGAGGGGTGGCAGATACAGAACGGTTAGTAAGGTGGATGTTTCTGGCAGCAGCATTCATGATAGACTAAAGAGGAGATAGCCGGCATTGAGGTAGGCCAATGAGGAGGGAGTTACAATAGTCAAGGCGAGATATAACAAGGGAGTGGATAAGTTGCTTAGTGGTTTCTGAGATTAGAAATGGGCGTATCTTGGAGATGTTGGACAGTGATTGATTTTGGGGCTGAAAGGACAAATGGGAATCTAGGATTACACCTAGTACCCTGGCATGAGGGGAGGGACTGATGATTGTGTTAATTGATCTTGATGGAGAAGTCAGGGGAGGGGGCACGGGCTGGAGGGAATACTAAGAGCTCAGTTATGGAAAGATTGAGTTTGAGGAAGGGGAGTGACATCCATGCCGATATGTCACTTAGTAGATTAGTGATGCGAGAGGAGACTGAAGGGGTGAGGTGAGGGGTAGAAAGATAGATTTGTGTGTCATCAGCATAGAGATGGAACTTAAAGCCATGGGAGTTTATCAAGTGACCAAGGGAGGAGGTGTAGATGGAGAAGGGAAGGGGTCCAAGGACAGAACCTTGAGGGACCCCTACAGAAAGAGGGAGTGAAGAGGAGGAGGCAGCGTTATAGGTAACACTGAAGGAGTGCTGCGAAAGGTAGGAGGAGAACCAGGAGAGAGCAGAGTCTCTGAGGACAAGAGAGTGGAGTTTTTTGAGGAGGAGGGGATGGTCAACCGTATCAAAAGCTGCAGAAAGGTCAAGTAGTAAGAGTACAGAGTAGTGGCCATTGGTTTTAGCAGTTAGTAGATCATTAGTGAGTTTTAGTAGGGCAGTTTCAGTGGAGTGTAGTGTGCGAAAGCCAGACTGTAAAAGGTCAAGAAGGTTGTTGTCAGTGAGGTGGGAGCTCAGGCGACTGTAGACTAAGCATTCTAGGAGTTTAGAGGTAAATGGCAGCAGGGAGATGGGTCTTAAGTTGTTCAGGTTGGTGGGGTCCAGGGAGAGCTTTTTAAGTATGGGAGTGATGTGCGCATGCTTTAGAGGGGAGGGGAAGGCACCAGTAGAGAGGGAAAGATTGAAGATGTGAGTGAGGGAGCATAGGATGGAAGAAGAGGGTGACTGTAGTAGTTGTCAGGGGACAGGATCCAGGGGCAGGTAGTGAGACGGGCTTCTGAGAAAACCTTAGTGACCTCTTCGGTAGTGGCAAGGTCAAAAGAGGAAAGTGCCCCCCCCTCTTTTTTTTTTTTTTTCTCGTGTGGCTGTAATAGAGTCCGAGCACTACTTTCTCTCACGAACTACACAATGGCCTCTAGACACATTTCTATACAAACCCATCATATGCTCTCGTTGGCATCTCTGAATGCATGAGGCTTAAATATCCCTGAGAAACGCTCCCAACTTCTGACTTACATGAAAAGCCTCCGAGCAGATGTGATCTTCGTGCAGGAAACTAATTTTCGTGCTGATCAAATTCCAAAATTTGCCAATGCTAACTTCCCAAAAGCCTTTCACTCCGTCAACACGGAGGTAAAAGCAAAAGGGGTGTCTATTCTAATCTCCAAAACACTCCCGCTCATAATCACTGAATCTCTCGAGGAACCGGAAGGGAAGTTCCTCTTTCTTAAAGGTACCCTTTACAACAAACCACTTACCCTAGCAAACATCTACATCCCCAATACAGCACAAGTAAGTTTCTTCCGTAAAATACTGGTTACTTTCCAATCGGGCATCTTGATTCTTGGGGGCGATTTTAATGTAGCATTGAACCAATTAGAAGACACGTCAACAGGTTTCTCATCAAAACCCTTCAGAGCACTTAAACAAATCAAAACAGAACTGAACGATCTTCTTCTCCATGATACATGGCGTACCCTTCACCCTTCTGACAGAGACTACACATTTTTCTCGGCACCCCATAAACGCCACTCCAGAATTGATTATCTTTTTCTATCACAAAAAGACCTACACACCTTAAAATCAGCCTCCATTGAACCAATGATCCTATCTGACCATCATCCGATTATGATGACCTTAAATCTTCCAGACGCCCCATTCCCATCCAAAACTTGGAGACTGGACCCCTTTCTCCTTACTGATTATTCCGTTATTCGCCAAATTCGTGAATCTCTGACCAACTACTTCAAGGAAAATTCATCTTCGGATACGACTCCTCTAATACAATGGGAAGCACACAAATGTGTGATACGTGGGCTGCTGTTATACATCACTGCCTCACGAAAGCGTCTAGCACAGGCATCTCTTACATCATTACTTCAAAAAATACGCAAACTTGAAGCCTCACATAAACGCTCCGCGGCCATACACACCACGAACGAACTTGAACAGGCATGTAAACAATTCAGAGATATGGTGGAAAAGAAAACCAAACGCAATTTTATCTTATCTCAAAAACTTTTTTATGAGCACGGAAATAAGAGCGGTAAGTTTTTAGCCAGAGCCTTGCAATCCAAAAAAGCGGCGCATACCATTCATCAACCTAATTCCAAACAGGGCCACTTGCTCAGAACTTCTGCGGACATCGCTGCAGAATTTGAGAGGTACTATTCTACTCTTTACAATCTGCCCCGACCACCAAAACCGACAGGGGACGCAAGACCATGTCAGACCATTATCCAGACTTTTCTCACCCAATACCACCCTAAACCCATGCCCCAATCACAAGCTAAAGAATTAAATGGAGCTTTAACATTGACGGAACT